AGCCTACTATCTTTGCCCTGTTTCCATTTTCATTACGGAAAATTTGCGTTCTCTAGCAAGGCACAGTGGGGCGGAAACTCTCTAGAAATAGTGCCGGCACAATGTGAAGAATATCGTCTCCAAGCCAGGTGTGGCCAACTCTCCGTCTCTTTTTGAACCCTTCGGTCAAAGCCTAGGTCCCGACTTGAACCCTTAGACCATTCAATATTGACAGAACCGTGGAACAACCCCCAATGCCTTATAGAAACTCTTGATGCTTTGGAGCAGGCTCTGATCGTGGCCTGGAACGAAGAAAAAAATGGAGTACCCGTGGCACATTATCAGTAATTTCTGTCGCTGTCAATGTGTATGCTCGTGGTGATCATTCTGAGCAGTACCCGTGAGCAGTACCCGTGGCACACCATCGGTGACCTCTCTGGCCGTTTTTGCACGACGACTAAGGAGGAGTCTGTCGGAAGTAACCGTAATCGATTGTGAAAAATGAGTAGATATTCAATATCATATATTCGATATTCAATATTCAATATTCATCTCGCGGTCGCTTTCCAACTGTCACAGTACTCCGCCCTATTGCTATTAATCGATTCTGCAAGACGAAATGATCAAAGATAGTAAAGAGGGTAAAAGAGCCATACGCGTGGTGGTCAATCTGCCTACTAGTTCACCACTTCCACCACGACTTTCTGTAATCGAAGAGACGCAAACAGGATCCGATTGTGGCATTGACAGGACAAGCAATTGTTACACTGTTAGGTCGTGTGTCGTCATGCTTTTTTTACACTGTCAGACCGTGCGTTGTTCATCGTCATATTGGCAGATTTTCCTCATAACGTTTCAATCCCTTTTCATACTGTTCTCCCCGAACAAAAAAAAACGATTATGCCGAAAGTTTTTGCATTAAAGTTTCGTTTTTAACAGTACTTTGCTCTTAATATTGTGCTGTCCCGGAGCCTCATTGCACTCTGAATATGAAACATGTAAAAGAGGCGCCAAAAATTTATTGCAAAAAACTTCTTTTGGATTCTTTTGAGTTTTTTGCAATTAAGTTTTCATGACTTTTTTGAGCAATTAAAATGTAATTCTTCAAAGATAACAGACGACAAAGTAACGACAGTCATGGTCATCCACGTCTGTTGAACCTTCCAGAAGATTATTAGTTCCAAAGTCCAGAACTCTGGCGGCTGCAGATCGAAGAAGAGCGATCCCACTTGCTAGCTTTTTCTGATTATCGGACTTTTTCTTTCTCCTGTTACCTTAGTGCCTTGCACTAAAGGTGCATTTACGGTGATTGATGCGCGAGTCAAGTCAAAAGAGAAAGAAGGAGAGTGTTAACAGTTAAGAACATGGGGATCGTGCTAAAATGAGCGGTGTGAGTACGACCGTCACCCCTCGAAGAGGGTCCATTTACGACCCCCTACCCCTCCTGCTCTAACTGACAACCAGATGCATGTTCACCACAAATGGCTTCCTGAAATGGAATCTGGATTTTCGAAAGGCGGACTCTGCTCTAAAATCCAGGCAATAATAGGCTGCTGTTCAGCCTCATGCAATATGAGCTGAACAACAGCCTCGCATTACCTACAATTTTGTCTTAGGATTCAAAATAAAACTCGTTCGATAACTATGTATGACATGCAACTTGTAACAAGGAACACAATCGAAACAGCGACTAATGGTGATCATTGATAAGCTAAATTGGTGAAAAAAAATAGCCCCAAGGTCAGCGTGTCAGGCCCCAGATGTGCATTCAATGAATGGTGACGGGGAAATCATGAAAACATGCACGACACAAACAAAGCGAAACATGAAAAATGCGGAGCCAAATGAAAAAATGGATAACCAGGCGGCAGTATATCGTTCTATACTTGGCTATTATCGATCGCAACGTTGCGACCGCTTTTGGAAAAACGTCATTGGAGCGCGGTTGTTGGGCCTGCCAACGTCCTGGGGTCTTTTCGGGGGGGGGGGGTTGGTTATATCTTTTTGAGGGGCGCGGCTTTTGATGAATGGTGAGCAGCACGCAACGGCAATGTTCCTACGTTTTCCTACCCAGTTGCAATCTGAATGTTTCCCCGTTCGTGAAATATTTCGGATGGGTTTCGGATCGGCTAGGGGTAAATGGCAAGCGGGTTTTTATGCTTCACACGAGGATTACTTATTTCGAACGCAATTTCATCAGGATTAAAATCGTCTTGAAACCGCCCTATCTTTTCTCTTTCCAATAAGCTTTACAGTTTTTCTGAAGACCCGCTAGTTCAGGAGATATTTTAGATGGGTCACAGACGCGCTACCCTCTGACCCACCCAAATCGACTCCTGTGCCATTGTGAGGATACACCTTCGGAAACTTCAGTGTGCCTTCAAAACACATATTTCCCTTCAAATGAGTGAAAGAGAAGCTCGGCTATCTCTGATCGATTTGGTCCGTGCGCCGTGCATTACGCAGAGGTGGTGGAAAGGTGTAAATTCTGATTTCAGGTGCTTTTATCCATGCAAGCAGATGTTTGTTTAGGGTTTGGAAAGGACAATACGCACGAATCTGTTTGAGACGTATTATTTAGTCATCTACGTACTTACGAGTTCATGCTATAACTGATATTTATTTATTTATTTATTATGCTATTCTTGCTATATTGCTAATAAATTTTTTTTATTTTGTAGTCCTATTTACATCCGGGTCTTCTGCAGCTTTCCGTCCGTTCCATCAAACTTAGCAATGACACTTTTGTACTGTTTGATGCCTAGCGAGCCTACTTTTGCGATACTCCCCACGTCCCCCGCGGCCAAGTACGAACCCATTTTTGGGGATTTCGCATGAAAAGAGGGCTGTTAAACGTAGCAGTTAAATCTGTAAAGAATACTCATAATAATTTTCATTTTTTTAACATCTTGACTTCCATAGCTCCACTCCCACTATCAACTGAAATGTCGAAGCATTGCCCGGCTCTGAGTGACCCTTGAGATTACGACCCCCCCCCCTCCCCAGCGGCCAAGTACGACCCTCCCTATGGGTTTCGCACAACGATGCTGTACCCTGGAGATAGAACTTCCCATCAAATATGGCTATTTTCTCATCACTCAATTTTGCTACGTGGGGTGGGCGTTGTGCTGAAGTTGAGGAAAATTCCAAGTTTCTTACTTTTCAGATGAACTGTGTAAACCAGTTCCATTAGCTGGCATGAATGGGCATTCAAAGTCATGGTGTTCTATGATGCAGGGGTCCATAGTAGGAATTTGCTTGGCATCTCATCAGCAACACGGGAAACTCTTTGCTGTTTGAGCAGTTCTTCTTTTGACTCTCCCAAGAGTGGTGAGCCGTGCGAGGATCTGCAGTTCATGTGATGTCGTAACCATGTGGCGGACTACGTCCACTTTCATTTAAAGAGGATGGCAAGCTTCTCGCGTGAATGAGGATGTTCTGAGATGCCAACTTCTTATACCACATGGTGTTGATCTGACCTTCCGAAATCTTGAATTGGTATTCGGTAGCTTATTCACTTCAGCGCTTCACTTCTTTTCACAGTTCCGCTAACGAACTCGGATAACACTGTCACTAATAGAAGTTTGATCCGAAATCATGTATGAGATTGACTAATGGTCTCCCAAGTTTGCTGTTGGGACTTCCGTGGAGCGAAAAGGGTGAGAGCAACCACAAGTAGCGCCATGTGCCCACCGCTCGCATCAGGACCTAAGGAAATATGGCTAGTTTGTGCCCGTCGACAACCTCCTGTCTGGCATGATATCCTCCCAGAGTTTCCAACATTACATACTGCATCCGAAACGTAGCGAATCGCACGGCTTGCCACATGAGAGCTGCTGAAACGGAGCTGCTGTTTCCCCGTGTACTGAATAACTTGCTACCCAACAAAAAAGTAGCCGTCTTCCAGTTTCTCCCTTCGCTCTGTTCCCCATTAGCTTTCGTGACTCCTCGACTTGAAAAAGACTTATTTGAAACTTTCGCTGAAGGACAGAGATGCAAAGCGGTTCGACATAAGTTCCTGTTGTGAAAAATCTCAAGCAGTGTTCTCCAAAGTCATGGCCTCCTCTTACCAGTTTGTTGAAGGTCACCCACTTATCGAAACACAGGTGATGGGAAAGATCTCTGCTATTTGACTCAGCGAACGGTCGTTTTCTATGAACCTTATAGTTACTGATAAACATAAACTCATCGCTCCACGCGGAGTTAGCAGTCACTGATAAGAGATAACCGTTCTTCGCAGTAAAAACTATTTCGAACAACATTTCAACATCTTTTTCCGAAGCTTCATTCGCTTTTATCATACCATCATTACACTTTCATTCATTCCATTTCCTGTGTCCACGCTTATCATTTCTTCCCATTTTCACTTGCACCCCGTTCACAGTTTGAAGCCAAAAGGCGAGACAATTAGCAAGGAATGCTGGTTTGCGCCCGATGCCGCGTCTCGAACACCCTGAGTTGCACCTTCTACTGCACATTTTGGGTAGAAGCACCCACTGTCCGTCTGAGGTAGAATCATCCCTTGTAGTGCTGAATATTTGTAGAATCTGCTATAAAGATTGTGTGCTCATCGGAAACTCCGCCCATCTGGGAATCGGGGAAATGATGATAGGAGACGTATCTAGCAGTTTTCGCTGATCCTTCAGTTCTCCAGTTCTGCAAAGCCACGAACTGCGAACGCGGTAGATACACCCCTTATCCCTGACACGGAGTAGGCGCGGCTCCGATCCATAAGCATAGAATGGGTTACTCGTGAATATGAAAACATATTTTTTATTTTCTTTATTTATTCTGTAGACATGTTGAAGAGCATGTGAGTAGGAATTAGGAGAACTACGTTTCTGATGAAGGTAGAGACAAAAATAATAGCAAAACACAGGGTCAATACGTCTTACATATTTCTGCGGAAAAATATTTGCCCGTAAACGGTTATTAAAACCTCAGCTAACTCTATTACAGAAAAATTTGATCTGATTTGAGTTTTCGCCACGGTAGTATTAATCTGATCGATGCTCCTCTTCTTGTTGGACGGTAACATAGAAAAGAAGTCCTCTATTTTTATTTTTATCAAATCTTTAAAATTTTAATCACTATGGTAGGTCATATCTTTATCATATCGTCAGCGCTGGACAATACCTGATCACGATTATGTCGAGAAGAGAATATCTCTCCAACAGCACAGCCACCGTCACGGAGGGTTGAAGCGTGCAGCCACGCCCACCACATTTCAGGGATTTCGAGGGTGTAGCACTGTGTAGCCCAAAACACATCGCAGTTCGATGACGGTGGGGGGGGGGAGGAGGACGGGCGGGCATTTTGCATTTTTGTCACTTCTCATCGACGTGTCGAGCCACCAAGAGAGCCTTGCTAGTGCTGACCGGTTTTATCATGGTGGCTGGGCGAGCTTGCTTCAGCTGCACTACATGAGACTCGTAATTCAGAACTAGTGAAGCTGCGACAGTGCAAAATGCCTCCTCCCTTTGCTGAACAGCGCCCAAAATACAACAGAACAAGGAATTCCAGGAATTCTTACAAGATCCAGCCAAAACTGACGCCTCGTTTGTTTTTCACACGTGGTGTCGACGAAGAAAAACGAACCGAACCAATTCCCAGAACCGGCAAACTGAACGATTATTGAAACGGCTTTCCCCGGGAATCGTATCCATGGGACTTTATAAAAAGTTACGCGTCCACTCATTTCACGCCACCACTCCCATGCCACGAAAGAAACCATGACTTCCCGACTTCTTTTGATTGAAACGCATCTATTTAACCCACAAATTCCCCAAGCCCTTGCATTCCTCGATGGTGCGACCCCTCAACATGACTTCATGTTCCATCTCGAAATGTTGCGCGTATTGCAAGGCGCAGTGTGCATCTGCGCTAAAGGTACATTTTATTTGACGTCGCATTGTCTTGCAACCTTTGGCCACATAGTTTAACAGCCGTGAGATGGTGGCTCTCCACGTTTTCTCCACTATTTCTATTTTCTGAAGTTTCAGAATCCAGGACAGAACAACGTACGCAGCTCTGTGTGGAAACAGTATAAGGAGCAGTGGTAGGTGCATCATGGGGGAAAGGGTCAGTCATTATCTCACTTACCTGTTGCAATGTCTCAGATTATTTAGGTTTTTCCTAACCATTGCTATGTTTGGTAGGCTACATGGCGTGCTATTCGTGGTGCTGCTATTTCTGACATCGTTTCTGGGTTCTGTTTTCATGCTTTTTCCTCTTTTACCATTTGCTTATTTTGGAACAAAGTTCTGGCGAACATGTGCTGATCGGCTTGTTGGCTTTTGGCTAACATTTCCTGCAGTGAGTTTTTGTATTGTGTTGTTGTTAGAATTCTAGAAGAGTTTGTTCGTATTAGTTTTCGAAGGATGTTTTTGCTATGATAGCTGCTGTTTAACGCCGCAGTTCGCGCTCCACACCTTATCATAGGAATGCTGAATGGGCAATAATTCAGGCCTCAAGCGTGACTCGAACCCGCATCTCAGGCTTATCGAGCGAGTGTGTGATCAATTACGCCACCTTCGCGGCCCCACGCTTCAACACGGTATCACACACAGGGTACAGCATCGTGATGTGTGAAATGGTGGTGTCAGTACGACCCCCCCCCCTCGAGAGAGGGTCTCGGCACGACCCCTCTTCTCCAACCCCACATACCATCTTCCTACCAAATTTCCAAAATTTCCCACATTTTCCAGTTTTTCACCCAAAAATTTTCCGTTGATCGGGGGGGGGGGGGTGGAGGAGGGTAAATAGCACATGTGAAACGGGAGAAACCGGGAAAATTTTTTTCCCATCGAAGCAAATTTCTCTGAAAGGCACGTACGACCCTCCCTCTCCAGAGGCCAAGTACGACCTCCCCCCCATTTGGTTGTTTACACAACTGCTGTACCCTGATCACACAACGGCGCTATTTACCATTCATTGCCCACACTTCGATATCGAAACCAGGTTTTGATCGAAGTTTCTTCTACCTGTAATGCCCACCATCTTCTGGCCATTATCGCACGTAACTCCTCACCTGAAGGAGCCGGCGTGGCATTAGAACATAACAGAGATTGGATTACTTGTGGGATGTTCTAGATCGTGACGACTGTCATCTTGTTCCGTGTTGGACAAGGACATGACCCACACGCGTCAAAATTAAAATAACTCACCAAAAGCACCGCCACATTTGGCTAAGCTAGTTGATGTAGACAGAAACACCTACCACACCCCAGGGATTTCGAGTTTACCATCCGGTTTCGTGAAAATGAATACTTGTGTGTAGATACTTGTATGCATGAATACTTGTGTGTCTTATACTTGCGTACAAAAAGTCAGCCAGCTCTCTGGACAAGTTTCCAGCACATTCGATGTTTAGGGAGCCAGTGAGCTGGCGTCCATACCTTGGGTGCCAGGCGGCCGGCTAATGCCGTTTGGACTCCAGAAATTTCGTCGAGCTCATTTTCAAATTGCCTAAGTCACCAAATCCACTAAAAACTTGTATATAGGGGTAATTCAACATCCTGATTACGAGTATGACACTCATTCTTGGCGCTGGCGCCAAGAGAGGACACTACGATTACCTCCTGGGCTCAGCCTTAGCAGAGCGCAGTGTCATCCATTAGCGCCAGCGCCAAAAATGAATGTCATATTCGTGATCAGGATGTTGAATTACCCCTATATACAAGTTTTTAGCGGATTTGGTGATCTTGCCACTTTTAAAATGAGCTCGAAGACGAAATTTCTGGAGTCCAAACGGCATTAGCCCAGGCGGCCACAAGCCAAATAAATGCACTATTCATACTCGCTGGATCGAACTCTGCAAGAAATGAAATTCCAGCCGACTTTGCCCGTGGGGAACTTTTCGGCCAACTTTTTTGGTATAGTATATTACGAAGTGGATTAGCGGAGGATTAGTAGTTCCCATAGAAGTAGTCGTCGGAGATTGCGCGTGAGGGAAAGTATAGTTACCCATCAACACCCATACGCTCGCGGAGGTGGTGTAGTGACAAGTGGCGCGCTTACCACTCGCGCGGTCCCGGGTTCGAATCCCGGGTCGACTCCCGCCCAGGCCAACCAAGCCTTCTACCGGGGACGGTAAATTGGTACCAGATTCGTCTGGGAGGATAAAACACTGACTTGTACATCGGCTGGCCACCGCAAGTCATTGTATAGGCCACATCGCATTCAATAAGCCAGACTTCATCCTTTTATCCTTTTACCCACACGCTAGTCATTCATCGCGAATGCTCCCAACTTGCGCCTTCTCCGATCTCCAGATCGATGATTATGCTTTCCTTTGCGCGCTTTTTTTTCCGATTCTTTCATATCTCAGTTCTCCGATGACGCAAAATATGAACGCAGCTTAAGATGCTGGTCGCAGTCAACGCCCCAGAATGAACATTACTTGCCTTATGTCTTGCCTGAACAGAAATTTGTTATTCGAAGCTCGGTTCCTAGCTCCAAATATTCAGCTCAAATTTTTATGAAATTCTGTGTTTTGCAGTCCTTGGTGGAGCACCTATTTGGTACATCATTTCATGTGACTGGCGACTTAATTTCACGCGACCACCCAGCCTTAATAATAATGAATCACAGAACAAGGTGCGCGCCTTTCTTTTTTCTCGTTTTGGAACAAAGTGTTGCAAATAACATTATGGTTTAGATTAGACTGGTTATTCCTATGGAATGCTTTATATAAAATGGATCCTGTACTGCTCACAACTGAAAAGATCTCACTAAAGGTAAATATAATTTGTAATTCATTCTGGAATAGTCATCGATGAGAGGAAACCGGTTATGAAACTGTATTATATCGTTCGTTCGCACATTTGTTTGTTTTGATCAGCATTAAAAGCTTATGTTTGCATATACATGCATGAAACGCTTTATATGCCGAACATTTGACGATTAATCATGCTATGCGCATATACGACGCTCTATCACAGTGGCTTTTTGAATGCGATTCTGACGCGTGACCATGACCTTCAAAAAAAAGCCCACGCGGTAGTCACAGTTTTCTGTACTTTGCCCGAAAAACTCCTTCGCGCGAGATCTTTTTGGGTGCAGGGAGAGAAACGCTATGTTCAAGAGGCAGAAGCCCAAGAATATATTTTCGATTGGGACCTCTTCACTACATCCGCAATTTTTTGAGAGCACTACACCACAAATTTCACTGAGACATTCTCTTCCACGCTACGCTGCGCGTCAAGCGGCTTTTTTCCTATTTCAGATCTGATCAGAAACCACTTGTCCTTTCGCGTTCCCTCTATGCGGCTTTCGTCATGTGAGTGTAGGTATCGATAACGGTAGGGGTGGTCAGGGAGGTTGAGAAGAAATTCGGGAAATTTTACATAACCCCATGATAGGGGCGAGCTGGAAGCGGTAGCCAACTTTCTTCTACTAAGAAGCAATGCAAGGCTGAGGTAGGTCGCATCGAGAGTCTTATGTGCGGCAGTGCTGACCGAGTCAGCACTGTTTGGAAATACCGCACGGGCGTAACTTATTGAAAAAGTCTAGGTCTTCCCTCTTAATGGAGGGAACAATTCATTGTGACCCAAGTGCTAAGGCCGCGTTCATAGCTTGCGTTCGTGAAGAAATGCAGAAATGCGGAAAATGCAGAAGTGCGGAATCTGCAGAAATGCCGAAAGTGAAGAAGTGCGGAATCTGCAGAAATGCCGAAAGTGAAGAAGTGCGGAATGTGCAGACATGCGGAATCTGCAGAAATGAAGAAAAGCAATTTCATACGTATCGATTTTTCCACACTTTTCGCATTTCTGCATTTCTTCAAATCGATACGTATGTAATGCTTTTCGTCATTTCTGCACTTTCCGCACGTCTGCAGTTTCGGCATTTCTGCATTTCTTCAAGTCGATAAGTATCTATTGCTTTTCTGCAGATTCCGCACTTTCTGCACTTTTCCGCTTTCTGCATTTCGTTCACGAAACGCCAGCTACGTGACGCGGCCTGATGGCAGGACGATTATCCTTGATTTCCATTCTTGTTATCAAAATACCGGTAGCGGTCTTGCTGTTTACAAGCAGAGGTTAAAGCTGTCAAGATCCGAATTTGATCTTCTCGTGTCTCACGCACCACTTCCTAGTGTTAATTGCGCAGCACTCAGTCTACAAGTGAAACCTGGTTTTCTTCCTTTGGCTACCCTTGCTTTCTTGTTTCAGAGGTAGGTGCATTTTCTTCCTCATTCTGATCTTTCTAATCCGTTCTTGCAACTCTTTCGGTACCTTTTCTTTATTTATATTCTCATAGCAGTGACCTCCCACCGATACTAAGCATTTTTCCGCTCCCATTTTTTATGCGCCGCTTTTGTTTTCATGTAAACCCATAATGCTTTAAACATATAACTTCCCTTTTTTAGTTGTCTAATATTTCACGCCCTTTCTTTCATTAACTGCGGAGAAATTTTAATATATTAAACTGCATGTCATCAGTACTTTATTTGCTGTAAAAGAACATAATTTGAGGGCTGCATTCAACGGATCACACCCTTAGTTAAGATTATTCAGTTAATCAAATTATCGGCGTTTTGCAGGCTGCTCTCAAACGTGTACCTGGTGCGGGATGGGCGATGGGCTGCGGATCTTATATTTTTCTGGAGCGAAGTTTTGACCACGACAAGGCCACAATGGAAGCATGCGTAAAATACTATAAACAGTCTGGAAACAGTTACCAGGTTCGTTGAATTCCATTCCTTTGCCATGTCGCAAATCTTTGCCCTTGCCTTTATTTATGTTCTATGTATATTTGGCCCTTTTCCCTAGTTCAGAGCAGAAATGTTTTGCTCTCTGTCACACAAGATTTGGCAACTTCTTACGGTTCCGACGAGGAAGGCAGTTACTGAAGAGCGCCTCTTAATCTAATGCAGGGTATCACGTCAAGAGAAAGTTCCAGTGATGAGATAAAAAGAACTTAGCGGACATTTAGAGTTTGGCTTATACTCGCCTACTTCTTTGTTGAAGCGATTAGTAAGGGCCTTTCTGGGGCGTTTTCGGTCGTTTCGTCCGGTTTTTGTTCTACTTTCGCACTAAAGCAGCGTTCAGACTTCGCGACGGCAGCGCTTCGGTCGCGCGTTCGACGCGATCGATGCAGTTGAAAGCATGCGCATCGATCGCGCCGAACGCGCGACCGAAGCGCTGCCGTCGCGAAGTCTGAACGCTGCCTAAGTGTTCCTACATCCGATTTCTGCCGGTGACGAACTAGTGAGGTCACCCTAATTACTTTTTTCTCGATTGCTCCAACAACGTGTTTTCTCTTTTCTCATGATCAGTCGCTGGTATGTTAACCCTGTACTCATTACAGCTCCTGCTCTTCCCAGAAGGCACTGATCGTGGCACTCGAGCTGCTGCCCAGAGTGACGAATACGCAAGAAAAAATGGTCTTCCTCGTTATGACTACGTACTTCATCCTAGAACCACTGGTTTTAATTATCTATTGAACGTAATGAGAAATGGTACGTTTCGTTTTTTTTGTTGCGGTCGTTTC